ATAATCAAAAGAATTTATAAAAATATTATTTAAACAAATAAAAATTTTATTTATCATAATCATAAGAGTGTTCCACGTAACCTCTTCTTTCTCACCCATTTTACTGTAATTTTTATGGCATGAGAGTTTTTTTTTTTCGTGAATGCTTTTATTATTTTTTTTGTTCACTGTAATCTATTGGTTTTTTTTTTTTGCATAGTAAAAAATAAAGCATAAAAATTAATAAAAGAAAATATTGTGAGAATGAAGTGAGAAAAAAGTTAAAAAAAAAAAATAGGTGCAAAATAGATTAAAACAAACATGTTATTTAAATGACAAAATTTTTTAAAAATATTTAATATTATTTAAAAATATTTTTAATATATATATATATATATATAAAGGCAGAATCTTATTTAAAAATTCTTATACTTAATTTAAATATTTTATTTAAATTATATTTAATGAATTATAATTTATTATTTTATTCACTTTTAAATATAAATTAATTTAAAAACCTAAATACTTTTAAATCCAACTAATCATTTTTAACTATTTAAAAATAAAGAATTCGAACACATAAAAAAATTATAATTTTATTTGTTCCTTAGTTATTTTTTTTTTTCAAGAAACAAACAGAATGTCGAAGTATTTAACATAAACATTTTAATAAAATTTAATATAATTACTTTTAATTTAATATAAAAAATATAATTTATTCCAATAATTTAAACATAAATTTAAAGTTAGAATTAATCGTGTTAAGAAATTAAAATATCAATATTTTATAAAATTACATTATAATAAAATAAACATAATTATCTAAAAATTAAACTTGAAATCAGACAAGGTTCTCAGTTGATTTCCTCAATTTGATTTTTTGTTTCTTTTTCACGAGTAATTCTGATTGACATGACCGTAACAGCTCATTCACATATAAGTTGATGTAGATGGTGATGTGATTGGCAAAAGGCAAAGGCCCAATAATGCACCTCTGCTGTACCCAACGCAACAACTGAAGTAAAAGTAAAAGAATCTTCAATGAAAATTTTCTGTTGACTGGAAAAAAAGGCTTCAAAGTTCAAAGCATTATTTAAACTCAGGTTTACGGATGTGGTTAATCTTAAAACAAAACTTTTATTTAAAAGGTTTCTTTTCAGATAAAAGTTTTATTTGAAAGTTAATATATTTAGTAAATTATAAAAGTAATAAAAAGGTTATATATGAACTTTTTTTAATCTTAGGTAACATTTTAAAATTTATGAATAATTATTAAATAAATTTTGTTTTCAAATCTATTGATGATATATATAACTTTATCATATATTTTTAAACAATTCAAATGAAATAATCATCTTAATGTTTCTTTTATCTAATGCGCATAAATATAAAAGTTTTATCTATAATAATAATAATAATAATTGATAATTAATTATTAAATTAGTATTTTATAGTTTAATACACAGGTTTTTTACATAAAATTTTTATATTAAATTTAATTTTAATACTTCATACAATAAAATAATCAATAAAAATCAGCCTATATCATCAAAGTGAAAGGATGAAAAATAAAACTTAAGTGCATTAATGTTAATTTTTATGAAAATTAAAATTTTATATAAAATAAAGGTTAATATTTAACATTGATATATTTTATTAAATAAAACTTAATTTTAATTAAAAATAATATTAAAGACATTTAAATTTATAATTAAATTTTATTAAAAATATCAAATGGAAAAAGGCAGGGGCGGAAAAAAAAGGTGAATTTGAATGACAAATGCATGGAAGTAGCGGACAGTGGAGAAGGGAAGCCGAAGCTAACGGACACAGCTCATAGCCATAGATGGGGTTTGGCCACACTCGACCCTTTTATGCTGGGAAAGTTGGAAACGTCCAATCTGTCTCGGAAAAAACTGAGCAAGATAGGGTTTTTCTTTTTATATGAAAAAAAAAATTAAAACATTATATTTTGAAAAAATTTATAAAAATATTATTTTTTAAAATTGTTAATATTAACTTTTGATAAAAGATTATTAGTGACATTTTTTAATAACTTTTTTAATTATTGATAAATTTTTATTTTTTATTATTTTAAAATGAATAATTATTAACTAATTTTAACTTTTTATAATGTGTTATACTTTTATAAAATTATCAATAACAAATTTTAAAACTTAATAAATTTTTGTTATTTTACAATTTTTTAAAATTTCTCTTACAATTTAGTCTGAATTTGACTTAGATCACGTATATAAATATAGTAAGTAAATTTATTATTAAAAATATTTAAATTTAAAACTTTACTTAAATAATATTAAGTCATTTGTCACTCAAATTAATTTTTGTTTATTGTTATTTTATGGTTACTAACACTAAAAATTATTAATTTTATATTTTAAAATTTTTTTAAGATATCAATTTTAGTATATATATTTTTCAAATTTTATATATAAAAAATGAATCCAGAAAATATCATGGACCTTTTTCAATTTGTGTACGCGTATTAAAAAATATATTTTGCAAAATTTAATACATATAAACATTAAATATAATTTATTTGGCGGAAAATTGTGGCCCCCACAGGCACAGGGAGGAGCGCGGGACTCTCGGGGGGGGGGGGGGTGTTTTAGAAATGGAGCCCTATTAAAGGGTGGGGCGCGTGGGGTCTAAAGACAGTGTGATAGTGTGTGCGCGCATCAGGGTGGAGATAGAAAAAGGGGCAATATTACCTAGTTTTGGGCTGTTAATTTTCCGTACAATGCTATAATTAAATTAAATGTATTTTAAAAATAATTAAAAATATATTATCTAATTATTTTACATTTATTAAATTTGAAAATTTTTAATTATTAATAATAAATAATTTAATATATTATTAAAATTAAAATATATAAAAATTTAAAATTTAATTTAATGTTAAAATGTAAAAGTAAATATATAATTTAAAAATTCATTTAACATAACAAACAAATTTTAAAAAATATTATTTGATAATAATTTTTAAAAATGATTTTAATAAATAATATTCATAAATTATATGTGGACTTTAATTTTATTTTTATATTTTTAAGATTATAAATATGTATAGTTTTTGTTTAATATTTGATTTATAAAAGAGTAAGAAATTTATTATATATATATATATATAATATTTTTATAATTAAAAGAGATAGATATCATCATAAGATGTGATAAAAAAAATCGTAAAAAATATAATAAAAATGTGTAAAAAGGTAATATAGATCCACCTATCCATCCATTTCCAACGCTTCCAATTTACATTTTAGTCTTTGCCATTGGAAGTGATCGTACATTTTTTTGAATTACATAGAATGGATACAGGGTCACGGAGCATAATCAAAGGGTGACTTTACATTAAGTGGCAATAGGTCATTTTGAGAGCATCTTGATGCTGAGTTTATATCTAACCAATTAGGTTTTGGTAGGTAAAAGTGACTTCACCAATTCTAAGGTTCTAATTGTTCAAACTTGAAAGCATAAATTTTTCAATTTTATCGATATTTCATTTTTTTTAATACAGATAGGCCTCAGTCTCTCGTCTTCACACTGGATGTTGAACCTCCAGCATCAAAAACAAAAAAGACATGTCAAAAACAATTATTAACGTTTCACTATTAAAAATAGACATACATTAATGTAATTTTTGTTTAAAAATAATTAAAATACGAATGTAAATCTAAGTAATAATATGACTATTATACTAATAATCTCTTTCTCCCTCTATACATATTTCAGAACAATGTATAATGAAGTGTTAAAATAAAGTAAAATATATTTCTAGTTCATTTAAATACGATTAAATTAATTAATTAATTTTTAATTATTTTAATATTTATTACTGCTTATTAATAATATGACTAAATTTAGCCATATTATGTCATCTGTCATATCTAAATGTTTGTGAATATGATATAATTATATATATGTTACATTATAATAAGAATATAAAGTGGAAATAATTTTTAAAAGTTCAAAATTATAAAAATAAAATCTATATTTAATCGTATTTATATAAACTAATATTTTAAGTAAAAAAAACCTTGGATTAGATAATATTTTTGTATCTAAAAGATGGAAGGAGAGAACAGGAGTGAGCTCACGTGCGAGGGACATGATGACAGTTAAAATATAATATCAAAATACGCGGAAGAGTTTCATTTGAAATGTGCAATAATTTTTCCTGAAATTAAAAAAAAAAAAAAGGCTGAGAAACAAAGTAGAAGTCAGAATTCTATGTTAACATATAATTTCGAGTTTGAGTATAACTGTATTAAATATCGTGAGAAAATATTTTTATCTCCTATGATTATCCCATGTGACTTCGCTCATAATGTTCTTGTATGATTTAATGAAGATTAAACAAAAATAGATGTGGTTTGAAAAAAAAGAAGTTGGAAGCAAGAAAGCCAAGGGCGAACGGTGGGCTTATCTTCTAGGCTATAATGCATTATTGTTAAATTTTTATTTTCCTCAAAATTGAACATAGTTTTGTCAACTGCATCGTAGCCACGGTGTCATTGCCGGTGTGGCTTGCACCATTTCTCTCTCTCTCCCTTTCTCCCTCTCTCCCTCTCTCAGCTCTGCAACAAATCATGTGATTATCTCTCTTCTCTACCCTGTCCTTGCCCAAACTTTGGTGGTGCAAATCATCTTTTGCTCTTCCTTTTGAAGTCCTCTAAGTCATATATACCCTTTCCCCCACTATGGACACCTTAGATTTCAACATAATTTGAATCTGACTTATGCAGTTGACGGTGCGGTCCATATCATAATATTTATTTATTCATTATCAATCTCTTAGGTCTTTAGGGTTTTAACCTGTACATGCACACCTTAATTTCCTCGAATCTAAAATAACATAGGGTTTGTGGCCATCGCTTCTTCCCATCATACTCAAGTATTACTAGTACCTGTTGGTTGAAGCTCTTGTTCAGCTGGGTTATATAGCTGTTGAGGGAGTTTTTTTCTTTTTTCAAATTATTATTTTAATTGAATAAATGGAGGAATACACTAATAATCACCCAAGTCCAAGGGCAAATTTGTTGTACTCCTTGGCCGGTGGTTCAAGCGGAGGATCAAACTGCCACCATCAGCTTCCCATGAACACCTTTCATCTTCAATCTGGTGGATCGGATCACTGCTTTCAATCGGATCAAGAACCACACCCTAGTGTGAAAACCGAGTCCAACAATTCCCACCTTCGCTCTCCTATTTTCCACTATCCTCTAATGAGAACAAATCTTCACCACACTCAGCAAGGAGGGAGCCAGAGCTCTAACGAACTTGAAGCCATAAAAGCCAAAATCATTGCCCATCCTCACTACTCCAATCTTTTAGAAGTTTACATGGATTGCCAAAAGGTCCGCAATGATTAATTAATTGATCTCTCATTAGCGTAAAAGTTTTAAGTGCGTGTATATGCCCCATATATGTACATTTAAATTAATATTTTATTTTTATAAATTATTTCCCCTTTCTCTGACTATGTGACTGTGGCTTCTTCATATTTGTAGGTGGGAGCTCCGCCAGAAGTTGTGGCGCGTTTGGCTGCGGTACGACGGGATTTTGAGGCACCGCAGCGATCTTCGGTTAGGTCTAGGGAAGGTTGCAAGGACCCAGAACTTGACCAATTCATGGTGTGTGTGTAAATTGTTGGTGCTTTTGAATTGTTAATTTCCTCCACTTTCACATTTTGGGCTTTGTTTTGCTAATTATGAAGAGTTTTAGACTTGGAAATATGGTGTGTGAAAACAGGAAGCTTACTGTGACATGCTGGCGAAGTATCGAGAGGAATTAACGAGGCCTATACAAGAGGCTATGGATTTCATGCGTAGGACGGAAACTCAGCTGAACATGCTTTGCAATGGAACCGTGCGGATCTTCTCTGGTATTTAATTTATCTTTCTTTTTGTACGAGTGGAGGACCCTATTTGGCTATTCTCACTATATATAATTGCCTTCAATTTCTCGAACAGAAATTTTCATTAATTTTAATTTTATGTCATTGAAAACAAAAACTAATTCTAAACTATACAATCCGTATCATCTGAGATTCTTGACATTAGTAAACTTGAGTTCTTCTGGTGTCCGGTTCAGGAAACTTTGACCGAAAGTTCTACCTTCATATCTTGGGAGGGACCCAGAAGAGACAAGAGGGTAGAAACATTCATCAAGCACATAACCCTAATCACCCCACCTAGGGCTACGAGTCTATATATCCCTTTTCTCTTAAAAAAATAGTGAGAATATGCAAAAGTGTTTATGTTATAAAAAGGTTTCTGAGAATTGACAAAGCTAAATTCTGTTTCTGTGTATTAAATCATATTAGGTATCTTACAGATACTATTATTTAAAGAACATCCAATATGCCTAATTAAACAATTTCAATTATTTAAAAATGTGTTAAATTATTTTTTATATTTTTAATAAAAAACTTTTATGTTTCCTACAGTTCTAGCTAGTAGCATTTGCTCAATGTAAGCTTTTACTATAAGCACTGTTCGTATCCTCACAAATCACCCACGTTCTAGTCTCTCTATTCTGCAAATTCTTCCTTTCCCAAACTACTAAGATTCTGAGAACTGACAAAATGATTCTTCTGAGTTTCCCAATTAACGATTCAACGAATATATTCCATTCAAGTAAATGTTAACTAGTATATTTGAAATATTAAGAAATTTAAATTATTTTTTTGATTAAAATTGTTATTATTATTTTATTTTTTAATGCAGTTTAATATAATTTAAATAAAAATTATTTTAATTCTTTAATCAACATCTTAATTTAACCAGACTGTTAAAACTATTATGAATGAATAAGTTGTATTATTTTTATAACAATTTTTTTACTCATTTAATTATTATTTTTTTATATAAACTAAATTATATATAAAAAGTGCTGTAAAACTTTCTCATACAATTATTATTTCTTTAATTGAAAATGCCTTCCAAGGATTCCTTGGGTTTTGGGGGATAGTATGTTTTCGCATAAACTCGTATCATTGCAGAGGTCAGTTCTGGGTCTTACAACACAACACATGCTGTTTAATCACAAATATTTTTTTTATTAAAATACTATTTATCATAATATTTTATATTGTCACTTAATCTTAATCCTAATTTTTCAGTTTTTCTTCTGAGTCTAAAGCTGCAAGTACTAATGTAGCATTGGATGCTGTTCCAATCACCCGAATCCCCAATAATACTGTTAGTTTGTAAGTTTTGCAGATTGACTCTATAAATGTATCATGTGCTTCTTTCATTTCGTAGTAGATGTAAGTTAATACTAATGCACTTATTTTGAAATAATATTAATTTTGTCGATTACTATATTAAAATATAATAATTTCATTAAAAGTATTAATGTTATTGTAATAATTGGAAGACAACAAATTTTAAATTTGTCTGACAAAAAGTATTTATAATAAAATATTATTACTTTTTTAATATTTTAAAGTGATAAATAAAAAAATATATTTTTAACATGCATGTACTCAAATGTACATGTTAAAAAAATTAAAAATAATAAAATTTTATTAAAAATATATTATTTAATGTTATGAGTGTAAGAAATTATGTTATATTTTATGATTTTTAATAAAAATATAGTATACATAGATTTTTATTGTTTTTTTAAACACATGTTAAAAAATTAATAAAAAAATATTCAAATAACATTTTAACATGAAGAAAAACACACAATATGTACGTGATTCAATATCTTTTGTCTATATCTATTTTTATTTTATAATTTTTAAATGAATAAAATTGTAAAAAGTCTCCGATTTCCCTAAAAGGTTTATTTGTTAATGTGGTAAGTTAATATAAAACAAATAATTTTTTATTTTTATATATTTTTATTTTATAATTTTCTTATGTAAAATTTAAATGAATGAAATTTTGACCAACAAATTAGCGTGCGTGTGAGTAAGTGTTTAAAGAGTGTGATTAATAGATACATGTACCCAAGTATTTTCTCCTTTGTATTGTATTCAGCCTGATGTATAACAAGTGTGATGCCATGATATATAAGAAAAGTGTTTTCATAATTTGTTGACAAAATTATAATGTTTTCATGTGACTTGATAAAATATCGTGACCTACTAAAATATAGTAACTATGAATTATGATCAGAGAACGCTGTTATCAAGTACTTTGGCATAAATATTTTATGAGATTACGGCCCACAATAAGAAGTAATATAATGTTACTTATATTTTTTAATTTATTTTTAAAAATGAAAAATATTTTGTTTATTTGCACATGTAAAAATTAAAATAATATTATTTACTATTTTTTATTAATAATCTTTGGTTCATATAAAAATTTAAGTAGACTAAATAAAGTATTATAGATAAAGTAAGGACACTTATTAAGAAATTACAAATATTTTTTACATTAAAAACAATGTTAAAATACATTAATAATATTTTTATAAAAAAATTTAATTCTTTAATTAGTTCTCTTAATGCATTGATTAAAGAATTAATTAATAATTCACAAATTCATATTAAAATTAATGTTAGGAATGCACCTTAAATGAATATATAATTTAATTTTGCTAATCAAAAGGGGGAAAACTGGTGTATTTTTATTGGATGATACATAATTCAGGTAGTCTGTCTTCTTAATTATAAATATCCTCACTACGCAAGATTTACTGTATTAGAAACCCTATGTTTAGTTTTGGAGTACCTTAACTCTGATCGAGAATAAAAAATAATTTGTAACCTGAGGAAAACGGTGGAATGAATTAGGCTTAATTGGCAAGGAGAAAGGAATATTATATTAGTTCATTCAATTCACCTGTACATTGAATATTAGAAAATGAAGAAAACCAAAATATAACAGGAAAGGTTACCGTTTTCTTCCTACGAAAAAGAATCTCAACTTCCCTTGAAATACACCCTTATATGCTTTTGCCCATTGATATTTAGAGTCGCTTTTAATTAGTTTATATTCGTTTTGGCATTACAGAGCTAGCTTTATCATTATCAGGAAGCTACACTTCCCACAAAAGCTGTAGGTTCCATGATATTAATTATGTTAAATTTTCTTATATTGTTTGTGGCTCTTCTCTTAGGTTGATCTAAGTCTATAATTTAGTATGTTTGGAAATATTAGGACTACAAGCATGTAATCATAAAACGCATAAGGGTAAATATGTTATAGGAACCAAATTACTTGTCCCCTATTTTTTCTTTCTCTAATACTATATCAGCATAGAAGATGAAGACAGATTTCAAGAATTTCGGATATGAAATTGAATTAAATTGATGATTTTTTCACAAGAGAATTACTTTACACATATATAAGCAATGTGTAACTGAAATTTATTAGTTATTTTTAATTCAATAGTATTTTCTTTTTTACATTTTTCTCTTCTTTTTTGTCATATCACTTATCATCTATCTTATTTTCTTTGTTTTCTTCATATCTCTCTTCTTTACGTGTGTTCAAATGTTATCATCCCTTTTAATCTGCATGACCTGACCGTGCATTAGTCTTATGAAATGGTACGTTTCAATAGTTATTTATAGTTAATAGTAGTTAGTTTCTTTCCAGCTAGATGTACATTCCCCCCGGTTTATCATGTGTTTACTTATTAGACATGTGTGCATTGCCATGTTGAGCAAATGAGCAGATGATAAATGTGAAAACATTGGTTCATCGGAAGAGGATCAAGACAACAGTGGCGGAGAAACTGAACTGCCCGAGATTGATCCTCGGACAGAAGACCGTGAACTCAAAAACCGCTTGCTCAGGAAGTACAGTGGTTACTTAAGTAGCCTTAAGCAAGAACTTTCAAAGAAGAAGAAAAAAGGAAAACTGCCTAAAGATGCAAGGCAAAAGCTACTTAGCTGGTGGGAATTACATTACAAATGGCCTTATCCTTCGGTATGTAAATTTGTTGCTCCATTTACATTTCGGTTTTGTTAGATTGAGTTTAAGCTTTCAAAATTAATAGTAGAGTTTTATTAAAAAAAGATTCAATATTTATAATATTAGAGATATAAAAATGTTTAAGATAATTTTTTAATTTAAATGTCTAATTTAGAGTTGAAGTTAATAGAATGGCTTATGTATTCTTCTGATTTCATAAATTTCTCTCTCTTTTCTAAATGAATTCTTCCGGAAATATATAATATATAACCTTAGGAATCAGAGAAGGTGGCGCTGGCAGAATCAACTGGTTTGGACCAGAAGCAAATAAATAACTGGTTCATAAACCAAAGGAAGCGGCATTGGAAACCATCGGAAGACATGCAATTTATGGTGATGGATGGCTTGCATACGCAGAACACTGCTCTCTATATGGATGCCCACTACATGGTTGATGGCCATTACCGTTTGGGACCATAACTACCCAATATATAAACATTCAAATCAAAGTAGTATGGACAACATATACATTGTCGAAAAGACAATTCACTTACATCTTTTCTCTCTCTATATATATATGGCATGTTGTGAAAATTTGTTTCGCTTGTGGGATGTGACAGTACTTGGGAAGTTTGCCACAGTGGTCTTTTCTTTTTCTGTTTTTGGTTAATTATCAATGATTGTTGTTGGTGTTTTAAGTATGTAAGTAGTCTCTGGTAGCAGCAGTAGCTCATATAGATGTTACATTGTTTAATTGGATATCTTTAGCTTTCAGGAGGATTGTTTGTATCTTTCTTTTATCCCCTCATCTGCCTGAATTTAGTGTGTAATTTTGTTGTTTGATTGCTGTTCCCTGAAGAAGAAATTTGCGACATGTAGAATCTGTACTGTATTAATTGTATACAATGCACACATTAATTCATTTTTAAATCTATGGTGATTTTCAACGTTTTGTTAATCTTACTTTTTCACGATCCTTTTTAGGGAAATATCTGTAGCATGTAGTTAATGGATCACGTTCCAATAAATTAGAGGTCATGTTAACAACTTGGTTCGTGCAACTTTTGTGAACTATTTTTGAGTGACATGGATGGATCATGGATGTGTCAACTAAATTATCATAGACTTGAATTAATTTGATGAAAAAAATATTAAGGAAAAAAAACGATATTGGGCGTATTTTTTAGGAATTAAAACATGGATTTGCTCATATTAAAGGAGTATCACATTATAAGTGATAAACACAATTAATAACTTAATCGATAGAACAATCCATATCTCATGTCTTAACTCATGTTATACAAATCCTGAAAAATTAAATTACACAAGCAAATGTTTTAAAAAAATAATTTAAAGCATTGATAGTATAAAAAACTTACATTGTTACTCAATTATATATTGTCATATCAGTGAGATTAATCATTTCTGTAACAATTAATAACAAAATTATATTTACCAATTTTAATTGATAAAAAATATAAAAAAAATTATATTGACAATACCCCAAAATGAAACTCTTAAAAAATCATTTATTTTGACGAAAATTTGCTGCAGAATTTAAGATAAAACTAGTTACTAAATTTAAATTAACCTATTTTTGATCGGGTTAATTTGATTTAAATTACTAAAATTATTTGACAAATCTGTCCTAACCAGGCAGAAAAAAATGAAATTGATCTTAATATTGCTGAAATCTATCTAGGGTGAGTTGAACTTGACGATGATACGGTGGGATACACATTAAAAAATATGAACTCGGTTATTTAATTAAATAAACTCAAATAAGGCAGTGATACCTGAGACTCATAAATAGTATTTGTGCTTGGAAGTTTACTACCCTGGTCATTGTTTTCCAAATCCTTCATTTTACTGTCAAAAACCTTTGGTTTTCTAGTTTTGGTCAAAGTAAAAAATCTTTATTTGTTTTTTAATGGGTCGGCCCATTTTAACCAAGAAGAAACCAACCCGTTGGTCAAAAACTATTTATAGTTGCAATCATTACCTTGGGCCTCACTTATGTGATATAATTAATTTTATTACGACAAAAAAGTAATATTACAAACCTTCAACAATAAAAGAAAAAAAAGTTGACGTGTGATATTAATTACAAAATTTCTTTTTATTTAATTTACTTTGTACAAAAAGCTGAAATATTTAAAAATATTATTATATTTTTTATTAGCAATGAATTTTTTTATTCTATTAAATAAGAAATAATTTTTAAAATAAAATGGAGCAATTGTTAATTAGAATGAAAATCTAGTGGGCAAGAGTGAATGATTTACCAACGCGTGTGTGCGGAAACGTGGAAAGTTTACCCAATTAATTAATGTTGTGATTAAGCATACAATCCTCTAAAAGCATAACAACTTGTTTGCTGCATCCAATGGGAAGAACGCGTAAGTAGTTAGTTTACTGATTATCATTATCACGCCCGTGTTTTTCCTCAGTGCCTCATTGGGTCTACGCCGACACAAACAAACAATTGGTGCACATCGGAATTTCGATTATGACAGAAATGATTAGCTTGATCAAGACATTGATAATTCTAGGAGCATAATATTTAATAAATTCAAAAAATTTAAAATATATAAATACAATCTTTATATTTTTTTAACATCTTTTAACATCTTTTTCAATAAATTTGTATTGTTTAAGATTGTTTGATTGTTATCCTTAGAACACTAATTTAAAATTTTAAAATATTACTACCTCTGGTTTTATTTGTAAAATATTCATAAAAATTTTATTGACAATAATAATACGTTAAGAGTATTTTTTTTAATTTTAACAAGTATTTTAAAAACAAAAAAATAATATTTTTTAATATTTTTATGTTTGTCTATTGACACGTATTAAAAAAAATAAAATTTGAATTTTCAAATAAGATAAACATAGAATGTTTTTTATATTCTTAAAATATTAGATATATTTAGTAGCATTTTTATTGTTAATATTTTTTATGTGCCCATAAAATACGTAATTATTTATTATATATATTTTCAATGTATTTATAACATTTAGTATCATAATTTTTGTTGATTTTTTATTATATATTTTTAAATATATGTTTCAAAACTGTTTTATTATTGTTATAGAAACATTAAAAGTAAATGATGGAAAGATATAACAGAAGGTTTCAAAATATATCGTATGATATAATTAACATGTTGCTGGGCATGGAATCATTCATGCATCTTTCTACAGATAACCCCACGCGTGAGAAACAAAATAGGGACTAATCTCGATGCTAATCATTAGTGCCATTTAACTTTGTCTTTTGTAGCCGTTTGCGTTTGGTCGCTTTTGCTCGATGTCTCAATGAAGCAATAACATTTACATTTTCGTTCAAAAAATAACGGATCAGGATATTTTTGTGTTTCTTTTTTTATTAATCAGTGTGTATTTTTTGAATTATTATGTGGATCTTCTTAGTTAACATCTTTACAATATTAGTTTAAAAAACTAAGTAGTTTTTTATTTTTGATTTAAACAATAAAGAGTTTTTAACATTTGCCTTATTCTGTAACATCATTTTTAATTTTAAAATTCTTATTAAATTAAAATAAAAAATATTATCACATACTATTCAAAATAAACTCTCAGTATGATTTTTGTGATTAATCAATTTAAAAAGAAGTTAAAATACTTACCTTGTAATTAATTTTAAAAATAATCAGTCCTTATGAACAAGCTAAAACATATGTTTAAGAACAATTTTTTTAATGTTTGTTTAAAAGCCCGGAACAATAACATATATATAACAATTTTCTATTGCTTACAAGATATCAAGTATCGAATGCATTAATAAATTAAATGTTATAATTTTGAATAAAATATGTTATTTGTTAATTTAAAAATTGCATGCAGTTGAGCACACATTCAAAATATTGATTATTGTATGTCCAAAAATAAATATTAAGAAGTTAAAGTTTTTTTTATTAAAAATTAAAATATGTATTATCTTAAACTCATTATATATTTATTATAATTAAATCATTTAATAATTTTTTAATATATGTTAAAATTCATGATAAGTAGTTAAAAATAATTTTTTATTAAAAAATATTTTTTATCTCAAAATCATTAAAAAAAATTTAAAACCCAACCGTCCAAACTTATTTTAAATTAATATAAAATTTTACGCATATAATTCATGCGATAACAACCTCTAATGATAGATATTGAGATAAAATCATCTTGTAAATATTCATTAAACAAGTGCACATATACGAAAGGATGAGAAAAAAATAAATGAAAATTATTTTTATTTATTGGGAGAGATAAGATTTAGATTAATTCCTTACTTTTATAAAATATATATATATATAAAAATTATTTAAATTATAATACAATGTAAGTTTGAGTTTTTCTCAAATTATACCCAAATCTGGTTTACCTAAATTACTTAAAAATATAATTTACTTGAAAACATATTTAAAAGCTTAATTTACAGTAAGTTTTTTTTAATAATTTATTTTTGAATATGTTAATGAACATATAAACTTAAAAACAGATCAGTAAATTAAAGTTTTTAAGTAGATTAAACAATGATATTATCTCAAAATATATTATGATAAAATTTAAAATTATTATTATTATTATTTTCATCATTATCATTATTATATGTTTTATATTTATTTAAAGATTGATTTGTTAAATAATGTTAAATTGAGAATTATATTATTACTCTTCTAATGATCTAAGCTCCTCACAAACTTATATAGCAGAAAAAATTCTTTAAAGCAACATTTGCTGAAAGTTTATACACAACTTTTGATGAGCAGGATCAATACACATCAACTGCAGACAGAAATTTAAGGGGTCCTTTCCATTTAAAGGTGAATCATGCTAAAAAGGATAACATTACTCATTAATTCTTAAAGCAATGAGATGCACATAAGTTGATCCACATTCTTGTAGGTAAATCACATGCATTAATTATAAACAGCATGTGATGGTAGTGTAATCGATCTGATCCCTTAATAAGCTATCATCAATTAATTACAATATCACATGATAGATTGCTTTACCTAATCATTCATGTAGACTATATTAGGTATATCTTGGCAAAGCGATACCCTCCCCCCCCCCCCCTCCCCTCCCAAAAAAAAAAAAAGAACAAGTATCTTTAAGAAATTGGTTAAAGAATCGTTTTTTTTTAATTAATTTTTAACCAATACCTTAATTACTCGTGAGTAGTAAGGGGAAAAAAAAATAAAAGAAAGAAAAGGATTGCCAGAAAATGAAATTGTATTTAGCCTCCTTAGCTAGCAAGCTGCAGATGATTGAGTGAATGTATAGTTATTTTTGTAGAAGTGTTGATTGGGCTTCGGGCCAATAAGCAAAGCCGTGGTGGGAGAGGATCCATTGTTAATCCCTCCGTTGTTGCCACCGCAAATTCTCTCACAAGAAGGGCAAATTGTAAGGCTTGCTACTGGAAGCTGCATATAAAAGTGTCCTTGCGTTGTTTTCATCGATTTTAGTTCTTGCAGCTCTTTTTGCAGCCTCTTATTCTCATCTGATAGAGTTTCACAACACTTCTTCAGTAACTCACAATCCACCTCAGTTTGTTTCAGTTTTGTCCTACATGTACGTAAACACACATATATAGTTACATTAAAACAAGAACAATTATGTCTAGCAAAAAGAAAAGAAAAATAATAATACTGTATTGTCAATGAACATGGATTGGAGCATATCATGTATAGGTTTGTATTTTATGTGAATATATATATATATATATATATATATATATATATATATATATGAGAGAGAAACTACCTGGCTCTCCTGTTCTGAAACCAGACCTCCACTTGTCTCGCTCGCAGATTCAGTTTCTTTGCCAATTCTTGTTTCTGTTTCTGAAGCAAATGTCAAAGTAAATGAAAGGCATTAAAAGACCTTCCAAAACCACCAAGCATTAGAAAACTTTAAGATCGAAATTAAGACTAAAAATCACACAGCATTAATATCAACTAGGAATAATTATTTTGAAGCAATTATTATTAGCTAGTGTCTTAAAAGTAAAAAATAAAAATAAAAATTATTATCATTAATATACTTTTATCATATTTTTAACATCGAACTATCATTCTTTTCAATAAAAAAAATATTTTTGATTTCTAAGACACTAATTAATAAAATCTTAACTATAATCCTGCTACAATACCAGAATCATATTAATAATTATACTATTTATAAAATAAAAAAAGGAAAAAAATATTTAATATCTTAAAAACATTAAAATCCATCAATTCAGTCTTGATTCATTAAATAAAAAATTATTCGTAGAAAGATGTTTCAGGTGAATTTGAGAATGATTGATTAATTGGTTAAGAACTTTGAAGATACCGGACTGAGAGTAGAATGCTCTTTGAAGCTATCTTCTAAGACTGCAGATTGTTCTTTGGTGAGCCTAAGTTTCTTCCTGGGCTTACCATTTTCATCAACATCAACAACAACCCTTGATGGAATCTTTTCTACCTCTAGCTCAAGTTCTTCCCCCGCGAATTGATCTCTTTCCCTCTTGATGCTGGAAGAGTTAGAAAATGAAGACACTGCGCCTGGAGAAGAGGCATGTGGATGAATATGAATATAATAATATTCATCCGATTCAGTCTTTGTAATTTGTTGATTATTTGCCTCATCATGAGAGGGTCCTAACGTAAGTGATGGGTACGAAGCCTTATTACACGGATCCTCTTCCTTTTTCTTCTGGCTTTGTATATGCTTGTGCTCATCATCAATGATCTTCATGCAATTTTCTGATGACTGATCATGGAGGCCAAGACCAAGACCAAGTCGAATCCCTGAGTTAGAGATATCAAAACCCATGGTATGCTGAGATGGAAGCCCTGCTGAACAACGTTGAATTAATTGATGCAGTATGTGGCTAGCAATCTTATGAATATTATGTAATAATAATGAGAAGAGGATGTGAGGTAAGATGAAAGAATGGAGAGTTGTGGGAGGGTGTGATGAAGAGAACAATTTATGATTGAGTAGGTTTGTGGGGACTCATTTATCTATTTATTAAGCAAGAAATGAAATAATTAATGCATTAAAGAATGGAATATGAGTATATAGTTTCATCTTCTCGAATATTGATGTTGTTTGTCATATTATTAACACTATTACTATTTGAACAGTTTTATTTTTAAATTAGTAAAACGAAATAAATACACATTCTGTTATATTTTCCTATTTGTTGAAATTGAGAGATGCAAGGAAAATAAAATAAAATAAAAAATAAATAAATAAATATATATATATATATATAATAAGAAATATTCTTTTTCTAGAAACGTGAAATTCTCACTGTTTTGGCCAATAGGTTGACCATGATAAAGTTAATTACTCTCTCGGACACTCTTCATGCAGGACAAATTCTGCAAAAGTCATGCAGTTGTACCATTACATATGGTATATAGTATACGTGGAAAGCATGTGGCACTATAGAGAATCCATAATCTAGATAATATTTCGGGTCCTTTATGTTTTAATTGCAATGTTTTCTTTTTTGTCTTTATCATGATTAACTAACAGACGATTCTAATTTTTTAATAATTTTATTTAGATTTAGCATTTAAAATTTTAATTTTATTGTGCCAATAAACTTTTATTTTTTAGCGTTAAGTCTTCATCAATTTTTTTTACATCAAATAATTTTCTCTATTCAATATCTATGATACATTTAAGATAAAAATAATAATAATTCTTGCTACGAAGTATCTTTAGGATATTTCCTAAAAATTAATTAAAAAACTTAATTTAAATTCATATCGTTGGTACATTGACAATTACTTTAAAAATGTATTGCTTATACCTTTGAAGTTTAAACATACTTTTGATTCCTTCAGTTTAGATTATGCATGATTTTAGTTTTAATTTTTTTCATGAATTTATTAACTGTATTTATTGTTAATATTATGTATAATTAGTTTTTCATTAATTTCTTCTACTTCAAATCTCTCATATTTTTATTTTCTATTCAAATTATTGTAGAGTTGTAATGGAAGTAGAATATGAAATCATTTCAAAAGTTTGAAAATAAAAACTAGTAAATAATTAAAAAATTAAAATCTTTTTGTAATATGTAAGATTAAAGCATGAAGAGAGAAAATTATTATTTTTTATTTTAGGAAAAATTAATATTTTGATCATTTAATTTTAAATAAAAATAGTTAATCAATTCAGTTCATAAAAATTTTGAGAAAAAAAATAATAATTTAAGGTAAAAAAAAATTATAGAGGATTAATTTGTTTATAATATTAAAAATAAAAAAAACTTAATTAACTCAAACTTTTCGGAGGACAAAAATTGCACATATACAAGTTAGTAAAACTAAAAATATAATTAACTCTACTTTTTAAATAATTTTTAATTCTTAATTCTTAGTTAAAATTTGTTAAAAATAATTTAAAACTTTCAGAAATTAATTTTTTTAGATTTATAATAATAAATAAAGATGTGGTTAAGGTTTCAAAGAAAACATAACTTCAAATCGTTTATTTTTATGTAAAATTTGATATTTTAATTTGTGATTTTTTTAAAGAGCGTTCAAAGAAAAGTGAGTTCAATTCATGGAATTCTTTTTTTTTTAAAAAAATAAAGATTTAAGAGTTTCAAATAAAATATTATTAAATAATTTTAATTAAAATAATTAAAAATTAAAACATCTGATTATGAGAATTTAAAAAACTGAAGAAAATAAATTTATATAATTATTAAAAAAATATCGGAAGGTTCCAAAATTTCCTGCCCTAAAATGCAGCACTATTTTTCCTAAAATTTTGGTACAAAAGATAAAGTAAAGTATTTCAGTTAATATATATAGAGTGTGATAAGACAGTGGTAGGAAGGATTGGGCGTTGACCATGGTAGGACGCGTGCTCCAGTTGGTTGATCACAAAAAGTTTTTCCGTGATGATTGACTCAAACGCTTTACTTAAAATAATAATAATAAATTTTTTTTATTAACTTCAGTCTTAAAATAAATAATTAATAATAATAAAATTTTATTATAAAAAGTATTTATTATTATTTTATAATTTTAATATAATAATTACGTATTATTTTATTAAAAAATTATTTATAAATGTTTAAACTCAATCCTAAAAATTAAAGTTTACAAAATTTTAATAAAAAAAAATCATCTCATTTATTTGCTTAATGCCTAAGATATAGAATCTTATAACCTCGTCCACACGACCGATGGGAGTATACAAATTGCGAATACTCGAACTATGTAACAGAAGATGTTGGAGCAAACTTTCAGTATAATATCGGAAATTGTAAGTATTCGTAATGGTTTTGATCTTAATTTTATAATTTTTATTCTAATACTTCATTTTATAAAATTTATTTTACTAATTTTTTGTGTAAAGTAAATAATATAAATTATCAAATATTATTAATATAGATTTTGAAGGTATATATATGTAATATACTAAAATTTAATATATCGATGGATGGTATATATTAATTTTATAGTAGCAAAATTATTTATTAGTATAAAATATAAGATTTTTATTATAAATTTTCAACGTTTAAATGTATTAATAATGACTATTTCAAAGTTATTGGTGAATTAATAGTTTTATAATAAAAATAAAAATACATGTAAATAAATGACATTTTATAATATTACAAATTAAAGTAATTAATCATAACAATACTAATGATTTTTATTTTACTAATAGTTATATGAATCACACAAAATTGTTAGTAAATAAATAAAATTTTAAAATATTATTATTATAAGATTTATTTTTATAATTTTGTTATAAACTAAAGCAATCAATATTTATAAGTTTATGGACAAAATAAAGGTAGCTTATACTTGAATTTTTTGGAATCTGACACTTTTTTTTTTCCGTTGACAAATATAACAAATTATGCATCTAAGATATCCTAATTTAGATTTAATTCATTGCGTTGAGGGAAAAATAATTCTTAGCTATATCTGTGAAAAGGCTAAAAATTATCTTTAGTTCAACAAAAAAATAAAAATAAAAATCCAAGATCGATCTATACAATATAATGTAATTCCCACTATCCACTAATTGTTAATAATTATCATAACTTTACACCCAATATATTCCGAATTAAGTAATTAAGCTTATAATAAGTATGAGGTCAACTTTAATTTCGAAGTCACGTTAGTGAGAAAAATAATTTTTATTCATTCAATTTAAAAAGAGTACAAATTTTAATTATCTTTTATTATAATTTTTTAGAGTAATGAAGGTTATGACGTCAAAAATTTCTCTTGCATCTGAAGTCAATAAGCTGACGTTGGCTTTGTTTGGACTATGACAAGTCTTGTATGTTATTTTGACGAAAGATTTGGATCGAATTTCATTTCCACTGCGAACCTTAATCAAAAGAAATAACAAATTAGAACAAACTAGATTACATAAATATGAAACAAAAGACAGTAGAAAAAGAGACAATAATATATGGCGCATACGTGACAGAAAAAAGAATGTTCATATATACAAACTGACATTTCCTTTTTTGAAAATGGTTAATGATACCAAACAGTCTTGTATGACCTATGAAGGTGAAATTCCTATTTTTAAAGCAACTTTTTTCAAGATCTCCAACCATATTCTTATTAATGTCTTAATTAGTTAAAAAGTTATTCATAAATATATTTGATTGTATACGTTGATCAATCATTTTAAAAATTTTGATTATTTTTATCTATGATTTTTGTAATAGAGATTGAATAGCATTCAGTTGTGAAAATAATTGAGAAAATGGGGCAGCGCATCAAGAAGAAAGAAAGACAAATAAGTTGGTGGTTTGAGTTGAAAGGCAGCTACGCACCCATCAAGGAAGCAAGGAAGAATGACAACTGAATAACGAAAGCAACATCCACTGAGAAACATGTTTCTCAAGCTTTCAGATCACATCTTTATCATTTGTTTTCCCACTCTTGATCTTTGCATCCAGCAATTCACAACCGTCATCATGAATTCTCTCTCTCTCTTGGAATATGGGGGGGGGGGGGGGTACTGTTTTGGTGCATCGTCGTAAGCAAATGCGAAATTCTTAAATTTATAGTTATTCTTATGCCAAAAATTCATTTGTTTAGATGCACTTCCTACCAAGGGCAAGTTGCTTATGAGTGAGATTAAAGTCAACTTTGGATTAGTAGTGATTTGTTTTCAAGTCTCTAGGGTTAGAAAAAGACAGCCACTATATGGAATTTTGAGATCCCCAGGAACTTCACGTTTAATAATTAACTATTTGGTAAGAATCTTAATGTCACAAATTTAAAAAAAATTCTAACCAAGAGGCATACGTGAAGACGATATTAAGAATATGGTGTTCGTAGAGGTGCGAACGAGAATTTGAAGTATAAAGTCGACAAGATTAAGCCACCAAACCAGCTTGTGTTTATGATCCTATCCTCCACTTCTAATAAACACGATATGAATATATGGAAATGAGTTTTTTTAGTCTTTGGTCATATAGTATCTTCAGGGACATTGATGCGAGTTTAACTTATCAGACATTGTCACGATTTAGATGTTCTCTTAATAATTATCTTATCCGATATTTGAACCTTTTTTGGAGAATTAGATGTCAACTTATTTATCCTTGCACTCGATCATTGTTGGTAAATGTCGAGGTTTTACGCTACTAATTAATATAATTGTTAAATTAGGTTACTTTTAGCAAAGAATATAAGCAAGTGTAATTTAGAACGTATATCATATAAGCAGAATTGATATTTTTTGAATTGCCTATAGACGTACTTGGACGACGTGCTTCATTATCAGGATATAGGGAAATGAAAACTAGTACAGTCCCAGTGCAATTTGCTTGACT